AATATATATTATAGATAAATTTATATCATTTAATTTATAAAATTTAAGATTTTATTTGTATAGAAGTTAATTTCTACTTTATATTTTCAGTAGATAATAACAAACGATTTTCACTTATTTGGGCAGGTAAATGTCCGATTTTTTAAAAATCAGTTCAATATCTCAATTCCCCGGTACGGGAATCGTATCAGAAATTAAACAGATAGAAATAATTACAATGTTATTAGCCGCATTTTGCAGGCTTTATATACGTTCATGATAAGAACTTGATCACGTCGATAGGTCCCATTCACGGGACGTCATTTTCTGACATTTGTTTGATAGCAAAACTAAGACCAATTACAGTAATAATATATAATAATACATATTAATCGTATAGCTACTTGATGGACATGGATATATATGGATAACACGTATATATCTAGTAGATATATTTGGTAGCTACTTGATAGACATGGATATATGGATAAACGTGTATATCTAGTGGATATCTTTAGTAGCTTTTTGGTAGACATGCATATATGAATAATGTGTACACATTCATTAGATATCCTCGCTAGTTATTTGAGAGATATAGATATTTTATTCATCTATTAGATGTCTACTAGCTATCCATAGTAGACATGGACATAAAATAGATATGTAGATATTCACTAGATATCTATTCGATATTTTGTTCTGTGTGGGTTCCGGAAGATATAACCTAACCCAAATCTATTTTTGATGGAAAACTAAAATTTACTATTAACTTATTTCTATCTTCAACAAGACTTAGAAATTCGTATAGTCGCATGTTGAAAGCTTTTAACGAACTGCGAGAAATAGGTGAAACCCATTATTGAGAAAGTATCCATGACTGTAAAGCTATCCCGTAAATGTAAACAAACACTTCTTCCACGTCTGCTCTACACAAATACAACGTAAACAAACTTTATTTTTCTTTATTTTATAATAGAAAAAGCATTAAAACTATGAAACTTTAATTTATTATATCTCCTAAACTAATGCCGTCCCCCACAAATTTCTTGCGGGGAATTACTCAGAAGAACCTCCTTTATAACATATTTAAGTGGCAATAAAATCGGAGGTATGTTACCTTTTATGCAGTTTTAACAAGACTTAAAATGTTTATGATCCTTTGCTCAATTATACGACTGATACAGATATACAAATAAAAATTCGACTTATAAGCCCCGATAAAGGCGGCACTAGTCCCGCTCATTGTTAGAATAAACTATATAGAGTTCATTGGCCATTATGTGATAATCATATTATATGAAAGATTAATAGTTGATTACTTGAGGAAATTAATAAGTATTTATAAGTTTAAATTAAAGGATTAAATAATAATTAAAAGATTTTATTTCCTTTTATATTAACTACTATGTCGCTTTTATGTTATTTAGACGCATATGTTATAGTATATTCTTTTTTTAAATAAGACCAAATTTTTTATATTTAAATCTATGTAAAAATTAAATCTCAAATTCAGGGAAATGATAATTTTTAAATTTGAACTGTTTATACAATCCGAATTAGATACGTTGGAGTTTCATATTCGAACAGTAGGAACAGAACCAATAGTTGAAATTTTTGATTGATTTGCAATATCTTTTTCTTCCTCTCTTGCTAGATTGTTTGAATAGTTCAGAGATCAAAGATAATTTTAGCAAATATAGTATTCGTTGCAAGTAATAACCAGTTGTTTATTTCTCCTTTTTTTGCAATATATAGGTTTATATTCACACAATTCATTTGCAATATTCTGTTTTTATATACATACGCACAAGATCATTTTAAGTACAATATTATAAAATGCTATATGACACATTTCAATGACTGGTTGAAATCTTAATATAACTTAAAAGCGTACTTAAAACAATTTTAAATATAAGAACGAACTACGGATCTCATGAACTTTATTTAATTCAAATTTATGATCAAACTATTTGAACATATTTTCAGGTTCCATTGATCGGAATAATTTTAGATTGAAGCTTGTGTGAAGTTTGAATGGTTTGAA